ATGTTTGAGTAGGGCATATATCACCCTTCCCAACACTATTTGACTGCAAGGCTGCAATATCCACAGATAGAGCAAGGTGTTTGTTGCGGTAGCAGATTTTGCTAAAAGTAAAGTTGCTGACGTCTGCACTTATTCGCACCTTATGTGCGTTTTTCTCATCTTTCATGTTTGGCATTACCTCCCGTACACTTTGGCATTACCTCTCGTACACTTTAGACAAGACAAAAAGAAAAGGGATTCTAGAAAGGCCATCATCTATATTTTCAGTCGATTTTGAGTTCACGCTTTTTGGAATATCTGGAACACGATCAGATTGCAAGTTAATAGAGGTAAATATTCACAACACACCCATGCTCCAAATATAGAAATTTCGCTTGATTAGATCCAGTAGGAAAGGAGTTGCGACTGAAAAGTACGGCTGAAGAACCATTTCACCGAAGACTTTTGAGCGCTACTGTATAACTAATTCTTCCCACCTTCTGTTTGCTTTCTTCGCAACGATACACTATTCTTCATCAACGCTCATAAACTTAGGAATGTTGCCACAAATTATCGTGAATTGTACCTTCAACAACAACCATCTATTACAAATTCAATCCTTCCCTCCGAGGTGTCTACTGGCGCAGCGACGTTTCTGCTATAGGACGCCCTATTGGTCTACTAAACCCTTGAATGACATTTAGAAATGTTGCTAAATGCAATATAAATTATTGGCTTAGCTTCTCAGATTACCGATGTAAGGAAACTTAATGGTGGACGGACATATAAACAGACAAACATTCAAATCGACAGACCGACCAGCAAGCCAGCAAACCACTTTCGTTTTGTATATAGGAGGGATATGAGTGATACGTAAAATTATCAACTCTACGATGAGTTTATCAGAACAAATATTCAGTGTTACTGGGTAGAATGCTTTCATTTTTACGGAAAACTACGTGAAAGAAGGTGCTGTGTTTCATTGGTGAGTTAATTTTGATGGAATTCATGGGATATGTAGGTGTCTCCTGACAAAAGTAGGATAATGGGGTCTCCCCCGATCAATCTTTATAATGACTTTACACAACAAAGTTGAATACTACGTGGGTGCACTGCAAAATTTACAGTAGAACAAGAGATTAGGACCGCCGAGTGAATGAACGGAGGCTTAGAGCTTTACTTCACAGAGTGAAGGACCATGAGGGGCTCTGCCAGCCGTTGGCGCTAGTGTGTGACAATCGCAGCCAGTTCAATCTGTGGTCAGGGTGGCTGCTTTTAGCCTCAATGGGGATGTCAGGAATCCTCTTTTCCTTTAGCCTGACCTGACCCTTTTGACTCTGGCTTGAAGGGCTAATCGAGTTTCCTCCGTTTCATATGCGCTGCTTCGATTTGGTCGCCGTTCATCGAGGGATAAAAGAAGAAGAAGAGTAGGTAAGCTATGGCTGGTTCAGTCCCAGGGTGCAAATATCTGCTGATGTTCTCCTTCTTCCCGTCCCCTGGACCGCCCATCTGGATATCAATGCAAGTATAAATGGATGTTAACTCGCGTAAGCATCAGCGACCACTTCGAGGTGCTTCTGCTTTGTGAATGAAACTCCCTCTGATAAACAACCCTACCCGTACTTGACTTCTAGACGCTGCACATGTCTATCATTTTTGCACTGTGTTCGAACGAGAAGGGCCTTTTCTCCTCAATGGGACGAGTTGCCCCGTCTTACCAACTCATAACAGACAGCTCAAAAGTGTGTCCTGTTTTCTGTAGGAATCACGATCACAACGTATAGGAGCCCCGATACTAGGACCACCGCCAGCCTTTAGGCTAGTCAGTTGAAGCCAGTCAACCAAGTCTCAGCTACCTATTACGACTACTACTATAATGGGATGTTCTATCACGTGAACGAACGGTGCCGACCTTCCTTTGGAATTTGGCTCCGACGATCAAGAAATTGGAATGGTGTGGTTTCCAATCGATACGTATACAAACCATAGGTCTTCATATGGCTTAGAGGTGGCGTAGAGAAACGACATCGTATTGCAGGTTTCGCATAGAGGAAATACGTGTTGCCGTTTAATAGAATGATTTACCTTTCTGTCTATTTGGCCCTGCAATTGTTATCGACCATCTACCTCCTTCTCCAAAGTTGTGGCGGCAAGAAAAAGCCGGACGCTGAAAAAGTAGGATTTATTATTTTCAAGAGTAATCACCAGGAGGACCTGGTCTTTATCCTAGTATGATACTTGACATATGTGAAATTATATTGTTGCCATTAAGAAAGCAAAGAGCAAATCGAAATCCAAGAAGAAGGATAAAAAAGCTGACAAAGGAAAAGAGGAGGAGAAGAAAAAGGAGGAGAAGGAAGAAGAGAAGAAAGAGGAAGAAAAGAAAGACGAAAAGAAAGAGGAAGAAAAGAAAGACGAAAAGAAAGAAGAAGAAAAGAAAGAAGAAGAGAAGAAGGAGGAGAAGAAGGAAGACAAGAAGGAAGAGAAAAAGGAAGACAAGAAGGAAGAAAAGAGCGAAGGCAAGAAGGAAGGGGAGAAGAAAGAAGACAAAAAAGATGAAGAAAAGAAAGAAGAGAAGAAAGAGGAAGAAAAGAAAGACGAAAAGAAAGATGAAGAAAAGAAAGAGGAAGAAAAGAAAGACGAAGAAAAGAAAGACGAAGAAAAGAAAGACGAAAAGAAAGAAGAAGAGAAGAAAGAAGGTGATGCAGAGGAGAAGAAGAAGGAGGAAGGGGAAGAGGTACGTTTATTGAGTCTATTTGTATCAAATCGCATTGTTAACAATTAAATTTCAGCTTCCGCTAGATAAGACAATGGCTTCTCAGGTGACTTGGCATTCTACTCTGAAATAGGTTTCACCTTTAAGACTGACGCCTTTTAATGCAAAGGATTGCTTTCAGGACGAAGCGGGGTCTAAAGAGAAAGGGGGGTCCAAAGAAAAGCCTCAAGAAGACCAGAAAAAGCCAGGTGATATGTTGTCCCATTGAATACAGACATGCTCGGGAACCGTGAGAGTGGAAGGCGCAGAGTAGAAGTTCGGTCGCATGGATTGCGTTCCAGAAGTTCAATGAAACTGCCTCCTCATGTGGCGTCCACTGTCCTGATGCTGGCACCGTTTCTGTGTAACCTACATGTATGTATAGCAGAAGAAAGAAAGTAGCTTCTGCGGCGCGTACCTATCGAATCACCTAGCTAATGCCAGCTCTGCTCCTTTTCGTGTTTCACTTGGTTTGCTAATGAATAATCTTCGCACGTCTAACTCCTCATCCTAATGGGGAGGGGGAGGGGGGGTTCAGTCGTGCCACATACCTTGAAAGCTCCCGTCCTCCGCTTGCACCCTTTTCCAATTTGCAATTTTATGGTCTAGGGCAGAAGGAACAAGTGCATACATCACCCATTCTACTACCGGCTCCACAGGAAAGGACTTATGAATTCCGCAGGTCTCTCCTCCCTCCCAATCCTCCCCCCTCCCCCCGTCCCCCCCTGGAGTCGTTACAAAAACAAGTTAGTGTTTTTGGAAGAGATAGTTCAGTCACCCTACACGTAACGGAACGTTAATGCTCAGATAAAGATTAGCCGGACCAGCTGGCTGGCCTGCCCAATTAGGAATAAACGGGAAGACCAGCCAAAAGATCTTCCTCCCTACTTATGTGCAAGAGAGTATTCTGGGGCCAAGCTACATTGCTCAGGACTTTTTGTCCCAAATCGCAACCACTGATCTGGAAATCGGTTGTCTCCATCGTTTTATGCATCAGCCGATACTTCTCGGCGAACAGGATAGATTTTGAAGCATGAAGGAACTTGTGATACAACAACCTTGCCAACAGAACCAGATAGCTTAACCAACCTCTCTGCTAGAGCCCTAGTGAACTCTGCTGAGAGATCACACTGGGTTGGTGACTTGTACCTTGACCTACTTTCCTACTTTTTTGTCCATCTTCACCCACTTATGACGCTCCCGGAGCACCCATATTCAGAGTCCTAACCTATCCTGCATATCAAATATGAAAAGCGAAACGAATCAAAATTAACTCAACCTTCATATGAGTCGAACTTTCATCGAATTACCTTCTTGGGCATCCCACGGTCGTGCTTGAGCGTGTGTGTGGTCGGCTCCAAGCTTCCGGGTTCTAGAAACAGCCTGAGAGTTCTGAAATGATTTTTCTTTTCGCCAGATACTTACTAGATCCGATATTCCAGGAGAAGTAAAGTTGAACGTCAACAGTTTGGCATGGGAGGAGAAAAAATCGCAGCAGGTAGTCGGAATAGCATCTTTTGTGTGAAAACGTCTCGAGAAAAACCCTTAAATTGCAGAATTAGATTTGAATGCAGATAGGATGCGACTTCGTTCGGATGATACCTCGTAGAAGAAGACCATTCTCCTTAATCGATTAGTGCTTCCATTTTTACAGGTGCTGAAAGTCACAAATGAGACGGACAAGAAACAGGCAATGAAAATCAAGTGCTCCAACAATGCCATGTTCAAGTAGGAGATTTCTCCTTCCAATGGCCAGGTCTGCATGGTCTGTAGAGGGTAATGATACAAAGAGAACCCTTTCTCGAGAATTCTCTCAGAGATTTTCCATAACGAACGGGAATCGAAGGGTAGGAATACTCTCCGCCATATACGTATTCACCGTAGGTCATACCTTCAAGAACCACGCCGGATTTTTGAACGATCTTCGTGTTTAGGGTGAATCCAGTTTTCGCCATGGTGGAGGTGGGCAAGACTATCGACGTTGTCATAAGTCGAGAAGGCGGTCCTGTAAAACCCGAGAAGCTCGTCATCCTGACTACACCGGTCAGGACTCTTCAATAGAAACCCCCCATTCCCTCTTCTGCTACCAATTTCGTTTNTTTCAGTATGATGGAACCGATGCACAGAAAGCTTATGCAGACAAGGACAAGGTCAATCCAAACACTCATGTTCTTCCACTAGTGGCAAAAACCTGAGCAATGAAGGAAATGAATTATTTGGAGAAATAAATTGAAGTTGAATAGAAATCCAACTTGTTCGGAACTTTCAATTTCCTGACCAGGAGACCAGATATATTGCAGGGGGATGCCTCTTTCCGGATTGAAAGGGCAGCATAATTGACTTGCACGTTTGGAGAACAGAATAGTCAGAGATACTCATCGTGAGATATGTCACATACACAGATTGAATCCACACCTCTCTCAAAGCAAATAACTGTGGGTAATAATGCCCGGGTATATGGGGAGCATACTGTAGCATTAGCGGTACTTATAAAAATACTGCCGTCCAGTATGCAGTATTAAGCAGTACAGTTTCAACGAACAAAAAATCCTCTTTTATTTACATCTTCATATGATAAAAATCAAAACAGCGACGTAAACAGAACATATAAATAAGGTAGTTGCACACAAGAAACCAGTGAAACAAGAGGGATAAATTGAAAACAAGAAGAGGATTAGATGAAACAACAACGAAATCAAAAACAGCTGTACAATTAAGGTATGATACCTAAATTCATCCTTCAGTGGGTGACCTCACCACTTGTTATCATTCAGTCGCAGACAGAGATCACGCTCGGTCCATGACGGGTCCACAATACAAGCCGACCACCTGAAAAAGCTTGATCGCTTAAAATGTTTCAGGACTGCTTTTCAAAAGAACTGAAAAATGATTCTGTCACACAGGGCTCTATAAGCGTTTGAGGAAGTCCTGGCTCCCTAGGGATGAACAGGCTAACCTATTCAGGAAAACTAAGGTTTTTGCCGAACATGAGTTCAAATAAGCCTTTGCGTAGTAGGAGCGCATTTTCGTTCAGAAATAGGAATTGTTTCTATATTTCTAGTATCCAAGCCCCTTTACCAGAATAATAAAAAGTCAAATCGAAACTGGGCTAGCCAAATCCACCTGCTCTCCTCTAATTCCTCCCACCAGGCGTCACCATTAGCAATGAGTTCAGCATTTGCCTCTTCAGCAGTCGGATTATACGGATCTGCAAAAATAACAATACGAAGCATATCAATATTCACAGGCAACGAAAAACTAGTCTAATACCCAAGTGCCATTAGAGAAGACTCACAGACTAATTCAGAAGGTTGTGGTACCAGTGCTGTTTGCGGTTGAGCATAGGTATAAGCCACTTGTGGTTGCTGTTGAGCCGGCTGATATGCAGCCATCTGATTATAAGTGGGCGCAACCGATGGATCCGCAACCTATAGAGTTGAAAACAAATAGCGTATCTACAGTCGCCTCATAAAACTTCACTCATTGCACGGATCCTTCTGGTGAACGGCGCTTCTTCCGTTCCTTTCCTCTACAGGCAACTCAGTAGAGCGAAGGAAAGATGATAAGTAACTCACCAACTGTGGCTGAATCCCGTCTCGAATCTGATGTCGTGGCAATCGTTGCTTAGCTGCCGCAAGCTTGAGAATAATCTCACGACCTCGCACGATTGTTTTATTCATTTCGACCTTAATTCATGCAAAATAATGTTCATAGTCCTACTAAGCTAAGGCTCTGGCGAAACTGACGAAGTTCGGTTGCACCCACCAAAGCCATCTGTTGTTCAGTCTGATCGCCAAATCGAATGAATCCAAGACATCTTGATGATCCATCACGATTGCGGTACACCTTAGCTCCGCGACATGAACGGTATCGTGCTCCAAACACTTGGTAGAGAGCGGCATCGTCAAGGTCAGGATGGATGTTGTTAGCAAATAGGTTGAATTCTATTGACCTTAACGCGAACTACTCGTAGTATCGAACAAAGAATTTTTGGAATATTGATCTTCGAAGACAGGTTCACTTACGGCACTCGTGGGTCATTCGCAAATGAGAGGTTGAACCGCGATCGTGGTTCACTATTCGCAATCTTGTGGCCATTCGCTCTCAGCATCGCATCCCGTGCTTCATCTGCTGTATTGAACTCCACAAAGCAATAGGCACAATTCTGAAAACGAAACAACAGAAGTACCCTCCCTCACTGGCCTGCCGATCACTCATTCATCCCAATATCTACCTCCTGAATACCTATGACCAAAGGAAAATTCCATGTATCAAACTCACCACACCAGTTTGCTTATCAGTAACCATTTTCACGGTTGATGGCTCATGTCCAAGTTCCTGAAATTCAATAGCTTCAATTGTCAATAGAATAACAGCAATGGCAGCAAACTTATGTAAATTCCATAAAACTACCTTGAAAGCCGCCAGAATAAACTGCGCATCCCATTGTGGTTGAAGGTCGCCCATCCAAAGAGTACGATGCGAATCCAAAGTACTGTGAGGATGCGTTCGGGGCAATTCATTTGGATTGTTGGCATCTTCCGCGCATTCCACAGTACTCGTGTCCGTCATATGTGGAAAACTATAGAATCTGTTGGAAATTCCACATAACAGCACATCATCCACACCATTCAAGGTTCATCTCGCGATAAGTTAACTTTGCAACTTTACTAAGAAAAGGTATCTAAAATATTTCCGTGAGCTATAGGATCCGCCCTGTCATCACAATGGGAAAAGGTTGAGAATCAGGATAATTAGGGCTCGCAACGAGTGAGTAACTTCTCCCTTAGTAGCCCCACCTCCAAGTGAACTGATGGGTCACCTTCCCAAAAGCATTGATCACCTTTCGACATCGCTATCTTCCCCTGCCGTCGGAGCACTATGTTGCTGTCTCTTTACTCCAGAGACTGGAGAGCAAAAGAGAAAGAGCAAAGAAAGAATCAACGTCGTCCCCAATTCTTCGGCTACAACGAAAACCAACTGGCTACAACTTGTTTGGCTGTTTTCGGCGATTTTACTGGTCCTATAAGTGGGTCACATGAAGCTCGCACATTTCTGTTGGCCCTAATCTGGTTATCGCGAGATGTTCCTTCAAAACAAGTTCACCCACACAGAGAAAGAAATCGAGATACTTGAAGAAAAACAACTTCTTATTCTCTGTCAAACGTCAGAGCATTAATATTCATTGTGCTCCATCACAGTGGACACCAAAAAGGAATGAAAGATCACTTGAAGATCAGCATGCAGCTTGTTCTTTTTTTTTCTGGAACCCAATACACCGCCGAATTTAGAATATCCACCCATGCCATTTGAGTCGAGGTTATCGAAAGACTAGAACTCTGAAAAATTTGATTCAATACTGATAGGAGAGTAATGGTCTAAGCGGTAAGCAATAAATCACCCAATGCAAAATTACAAATCAAAATCGCACATCGTCAATTCAAAGACATTCATAGCATCGCTTTCGCTTCCTGGAGCCAGTATCAACAACAGACTCTACAGAGACAGTGGTAGCTCAGCTGGCATCTTCACCATAAACTCACTGGTAGCGTTGGTGCTTAGCGACTCCAGCGACTACGGAATGGTCAATGACATACAACACCTCACGAGCCTTTTTTCCCCAATTACTGACGCTTCGTTCGAAACAGGAGGGATAGGGCAGGCCTCAAAACAAGGATCGATTTCCGAAAGCAAAAACTCTACCGGATGGTAACTTCACTCCTAGCAGCACGTAGAAAACCCCCAACACTCTACAAGGCGGGTTTTTCCCATACTTGCTTCCATCACAAATCAACCAAATCAAGAGGAACGATGGGATAGGGGTTCTAGCGGAGCTCGATACAAGATTTGACCTTCGACTATAAACGTGGTACCGGTAGCGACTTCCCCAATCTGACCCCTACCACTCGAGAACATCTCGTAAACACAAATCGCAAGAAGCCTACATCGAGTGTAACATGTAAGTATATCTTCAGCTTATCATGTGAACGACAGGCACCTGAGAAGCCTCATTTGCTATTGTTCGGTCGGCCATCTAGGTGAGTTGATCAGGTCGGCTTGGAATCACATAAACACCTCCGCTCTTTCAGGAAATTATACAATCGACAAAATGATTGGAATTCTTGTGCAACTCTTACTCATAAGCTTTTTAGTAAAGCTACTATTATGTGGCAAAAAGGCTAAGAAGGGTTCCGGACCAATGGTGAGCAACTCTGTGCTTTTGGTAGGGATTGAGCGAGTTTTGTAATGAATTGGGCGGTAACAGCGAAGCTTGCGTAAGGTCTCCAACTAGAAAACGAAGTTGTTCAGTTGCCTTCTAAAATTCTTGCCACTATGCTAAGCAAACCCGAATCCTTCCTAGCAACCACGCTATTCCTGCTATAAGTACGTAAGAACTCAATCAAGCTTCAAAGCGGCCGCTTGTTGGCGATGCCAGCTCTAAGCGCTCGCATAACTCTTCATAAGTATCACAGAAAAATTGAGTCAAAAGCTAATTTCGAAGCGAAGGCGGTTAATATGGACTAGTCTCGACCGCTCTCACTTGGGAGCTATGATAAATAAGTCCTCCCTACAAGCTTTATCGCTGCGATTATACGAGTTCATTCATCGACCATTGGCTGATCGGCATGTGGTAGTGGCGTTAGCTATCACACTGTGTCAAGTGACTGATCGGAAACGAATTTCCGAAGGAATTAATTTGGAAAAGAAATGAGTACCAGCTACGGGACTAAGATAAACTTCTTTTTTTCTGGAATCGCTGCCATGGTTCGTCAACAAGGAGAGGGCTCTCCGTCCATCTAGTGCATTAGTGAACGAAGTTTAGCTGTGAATTTGTGAACTGGTCAATCCCAGCTCCGTGATTCATTAACCCTTTGACGACAATGCGCATTTCGACGAGACGCGCCCATCGGACCACGCTCCCCTACTTTTGCGCGCGAGTGGCACCCACAGGTGGGTGGCACTACCCCAGCAGAAACTTCTTTTACTGGCTTACTGAATTCAGCAAATGGTAGGAAACAAGAAAGTATGATGGCTCCCAAAATTTTGTGCCAATGTCCGTTGTGCCAGTCGTAGTGGCACTCACCGGTGGGTGCCATTGTCGTCAAAGGGTTAACTAGGCCCTCTAGTCAAGTAATGAAGAAGGCCATTACGCACATGAATGGTCAGGACCTCGACTCGTTACGATAGCAGAAAAGAGTTGTCTCCCCTTCGAAAAATGTCAAGAAAAAAAATAAGGTTTAGGCAAACAAAACTGCAGGGAACAAGTCAGCAGAGAAAATTGTAGAAAAGTCAAGTTCCACAACGAATACAGTGAGTTAAAACTATACTGAAATCACTTCCAAGACTTAGAGTGCATAGTTCAACATGCGCCAACATAGACACAACCATCAATCCATCGAAGCTAGGAAGGAAAAAAAAAGTTAAGAGAAAGCTTTAAAGGAACCGACTATTATTTGCTTTACGGGGTGACCCACATGAAGTGTGACTGGCAATAAAAAAATCAACTTATGGGCTTCTGGGCTGGAGGGAGCGGTGATCACTTGGGCGGAAAGGAACGCGATGCACGTCAACTGAACCTACCACAAGAGTGTGCACCAGCCCACAGCGCGAAGAAGATGCTGCAATGTTGTGAAACCACGCTTCCGGGTTTTCGGGGCGAAGCAGTTTTGACCTTCAATTTCCCCGATCTCAATCCTTTGTATTTTGGTGTATGGTCGATTCTGGAGCAAAAACCTGCGCTTCCAAACAAATGTCTTAGGAACGTCTAAAAGAAAGTTCTCTTGTAAAAGCGGGGGATGAAAGTGATTGCGCGCTTTCTTGAAAACAACCGAATGAGGTTGGATGTTTGCATTAAAGCGAAAGATGGTCATTCTGAATGCGAGATGTGATATCTTGTTTACAATTTTGTGATGATTGTGTAGGAGTAATAGTTTCTTATTGGTTTGATCTGTATAATTTTGATGCTAGATTCTGCGTCACACTTCATGTGGGTCACCCTGTATTACTGTAACGCGCCTTCAAGCGAAACAAATAAAACGAAAATAAATTAAGACATGAGAAATATTGAGGTTATGAACTATGATTCAATTACTTCAGTCGAAGAGCGCTGATAAGGAATCGAAAGCCAGTGATCAGAAAGAAGAAGCCAAAGAGAGCAAGGAAGAGAAGAAGCCGGATGCGAAGGTTGAAGGGGTAGTATGTTTATTCGCTGTTAAGAATGGAACAAGCCTTTCTATCTTATAAAATTCACATCCATTACAGGGCAGCAAGGAGAAGGATACCCAAGACAAAATCAAAACTGATAAAACAATGGCTAGTAAAGTTGAGGAAGTCAAGGCGGAAGACAAAACGCAGCTACCAGCGGACCCTGTTCCGCCAGAGGGCGGCGAGAAAAAAGGCGGCAGTAAGGAGGGTAGCAAAGAAGGCAACAAGGCGACTCCAGGCAAGTTATTTTACTGCTTACATACTTACCATGAAGCATTCCTGGAAAAAACGTATCAAACGTCCTTTGAATAGAAGGCGATGAAAAAAGGGCTCGAAATGAGGGAAAACCTGCGGTTACAATAGAAAATTCAAAAGCGGTAGGGAGTAGGTGAGAGAAAAATCGTAAACATGATCGTTTCAGCGAACGCCGAAGGAGAAAAAAAGGAGGGCGGTAAGATGGAAGCAGGTTGGTAACTTTGCATGTCGATTGAATACAAAAAACACTAAAAAGAGTATAACATCAATAATTTCAGCAAAAGGCGAGGGGGATAAAGAAGGTAAATAGAGCTCTTTTGATTCCACCCAAACTTGGCTGACTCCCGACATTTAGGAAAACCTTTAAAATTCAGTGCAACTCAACTTGAATGGGACGAAAAAGGGGGCCAACAGGTTGGATTATTTGATTAGTCATAAAAACTCTTGCGAACGACAAAAGACTTATGGCAGACCCTAACCGTCACTAACACGACAGACGTGAAGCAATGTATGAAGATCAAGTCATCAGATAACAAACTTTTCAAGTGAGTTAACCCATCAGCAAGAAGAAATGACCCAGGAAACAAAAACTATTAGGATTAAAATAAGTGTTTAACAGAGTGCATCCGGTCTACTCGAATGTCGATCCAGGAAAATCTCAAGAAATCACCGTCCGCCGGGATGCTGGTCCAGTAAAATCGGATAAAATCGTTATTGTGACTGCTCCGGTAGGAATTCAGACAAGAGAAATCTATGTCTTGGAAAACCGCTACAGGCATTAGAGCTGAGCCATTCTAGATAATTGTTAGCATTACAATTTGGAAACAAGTTATGCTGTACATTTCAGAATAAAGACGACGATGATCCTGAGAAATTATTCGAAAAAGCAGATTTGAAGCTTGCCGTTTCAGTGGTTAGGCAAACAGGAAAGGGAGAAACAAAGCCGGACGAAGAGAAGCCAAAAGATGAAAAATAAGGATACCTGCACTGTTTTTACAGAACATTGTAATAAACTGCTTTTTTTTGCTCACGTCATATTTGAAATCACCTTCAACGCCATTAGTCGCTTTCATCTGAACTGTCCTTCTCACTGGCGCTCTTCTTATTATCACTGTCACTATCGCCATCATCACTATCATCTTCTTTATCTCTCTCGTTATCCGTACTGTTCTCCTGAAAAAAAAAGAATCCGGGAAAGAAAGGAGAATCGCACTAATAGTTCGATACAAGACCATAAGAGACAGCATTTGCCAAAAAGGTTACAAAAAACGTTGTGATAAAGGGAGGAAAAGTGGAAAAATCGCAGTCAGTAAGGGTTTGGTTAACTGCGCATGGTCTAGAATTTATTTCTAACCTTTTCACTATTCGAGCCATCTGAGCCTGATTCATCCTTCTTTTCTTTGTCCTTCTCCGATTCTTCAACGCCACCATCAGACTTCACCGATCCTTTGTCTGTTAAAGAGAATGTTTTTGAAGCATTTTTAAGCAGGGGGAAATTGTATGTAATGACATGAATGATAGTATTGAGTGGATGTCGGCTATATTAAGAGGTGGGAAGGATGACGGTGGAGAACTTCTGAGTTTAATATAAAGATTGTACGGTTCCAGAAATTTGAAAACTTGTCCCCACTTTTAGAGGACTCACAAAATCTATTGAAAACGACTGAATAATACCCAATAAAGCTACCAAGTATGATATGCTATGGAGAAACAGAAGAAAAACACAGGAAAATCAAATCAATCAAAATAAAATCGTGTGACAGAAAATAGAGGCAGCTGCCTCATTCCACATGAACTTTTAATAAAGGCTAAAAGCAAAATGAACAAGCAGAGAGTTTCGCGCACTACCTCCATCGCCTTCGTCATCTGAGTCATAAGTCCTGAGCAAGGAGTTCATTCTGTTGGTCATCTGCTGCATTTCGTTCTCGGTTGGAGCCGTATACGTAATATTCAAACGGGTGTTGGGCTGAAATCTCGACACGTCAAAGAGACTGCTAACAATATTTCATCAGCCCAAGAAAAAAAAACATAAGAGACGAAAGTATATGGGAATGATTGAAAGGAACTAAGGTAGTAAACACAAATGTACCTTTTCTTGTGCATTACGACGTCTTCGAGCCAGCCGTACTTTGGTTTCTAGCTCATTATAATGGAAACATCCATCTTTATAATATACGAAATAGTTGTCGCGTTCGAAACCTTTGGTATTCTTATTCTTTACGGTCCAGGTATACTCGCGATTTAACGTATGTTCATATCTGTAGTACAGTTACAGAAGGAAAGCTAGACGTAGTGAAAGATTTGAGATTACTTACACTGCTCCTTCCTCAAAACTTCGACCTTCTTCTCTATCGTTAAGTTTCTTCTGTAGAGTTTCAACTGTTGGGATGAAATGTGCCACAAATTGTTCGCCATCATCATCCTGCATTCCCCTGAAATTAAGAAGAGAAATGGCTAGTTTCCAGAAAAGCAAGGGAAAACTATCTAGGAATATTACTTGATGTAACTTTGTGTGACCATACTATCACAGAGCTCAGGTGCAAATGAGGTAGGCGTAGGATCTACGTCGAACTGTACCACCGCAAATGGATATTTCCAGAGCTAAAATTACTCAAAGGTGTCAAAAAGGGTGAGAAAAATGTATCTTTGTAAAACACGCAAGGCTATCAAAAAAAGTAAGGATCTAGCCCATAATTATGGTAAGTAATGAAAACGAAGTAATGAAATAATATTTACCGTGAAATCTGGCAAAATAGGTATTTCTTCTAGGGCAGTAACTCCCTTCTTCGAGAAATGCTTCCGTATCGGTACTTTGCACTGAAAGCGAATGATCAAATAAATAGCAAATTCCCGACTCACAAACGGCGAAAGCTGCGAACTTACGTCTTCGAAAGACTTCGTTATCGAATTGATTTGGCTCTGCCGATCGCGGAATATGTTCAAGTTCTCCTTGTTTTTTGTGAGGTTATATCCCACTTTGATTTCTTGCCTGTAAGGCATTGGAATAATGAAGTGGCCAAGTATGATACTTAAGCAGAAGAATGATTTACCGGTCAGCAGCCACACCGAATCGATTGAATTCGGATGAAATATATTGAGTTTTTCGCATCCAAGGAACCACTTTGGAATGCTGCGCTGACCTAAACTATGGTAAGTATCTTGAATTTAATGGCTGATTGTAGTCACATGAGGTTCACTCTGGAACGAAAATCTGGAAAATTTTAAGAATCGACGCTACCGACCTCTTTATTTGCTTCGCATTTGAGTCTTCATCCTCTAAAAGTAAGGCGTCCTTCTCATTCAGCTAAATGAACGAAGATAGAAAGAGTAAGGTCACGTAACTTGCCACGAAAAAGAAGCGAGTCACATAATACGTTTCAGATTAGGAAAATCCACAAAAAGTAAAGGACTCTAAATAATATGATCAAAGAGACCTGAATTTCTGCGGTATTGTCGACTTTGTAGGTGTTGGGATCAATCAAGTCCAAGTTCAACCCAATATCCATCTCACACTGGACTTCGAATTTGTACTCCATTTCTAAGGATGTTGGCTTGTAGTCAATGAACCTACAGAAAGAACGGAATAAGGCCTGTTACTCATATAATTGACAACGATATAGATAAGCAAAGGTCGTGCATAGAACCAACCTTTCTAACTCGACAAATGGACATGGCAGGAACTTTCCAGGAAATGGGACATCAGGCAGAGTATTTCGAAAACGTGGTTTGCAGACAAAATCCGGACCTCGGCTGAAAGTTAAATAAAATGGCATTAACAAGATAGCGAATTCAAAAAAGAGACTATAAGCACCCCACCTCTTGTGTTTGCTTCCTGGTTTATGATTAGGTTGAGACATTTTTTACGAATGAAGACGAACCAATAGAAATCGAAGGAATTATACGAAGGTAAAACAACCTGAATGTTTAAATAACACAGTGAACCTTATTAGTTGTGTCTCAAAATACCTGATCATGAACAAATAAGCCAAAAAAATATTAATAGCTTAATATGACACATGGATACGGAAAAAGACAAAAAAAAGCCATAACAAACCAACAAGCGGAACTTATGCGGATTCTTCTGCGCTCGCTAAAGGGCTTGTAATAGGTGTAACTGCGTATAATGTTTTGTGATGTACGACAAATTCGAGTCGGATTTCCTGACGTGCTCGTAGTGCTTTGAGTTTATTTCTGATGTCGTTGCCGCTTTTTCTCTATGATATTTCTATTGTTGCTTCAAACATAGAGATATATTTGCTTTAGATGGTGAGACATCATTGGCGTGGAACACTAAAGCAACCCTTTGCCATCAAGCTTTTTTCAGGTATGAATTGTTTCAAAGATTTTACTCAGTTGTTCAGTTTTCGCTTGCATTCTGCCTTCATTTATAATATCTTGTCGATGATGCTCTATAAATGAGTGCGAATGTAATTTGTTCAGCTCCTAGTTTGCAATGTTTTCAGGTGTGTGGAATGCTCACCCACGATTTGCAACCAGAACAGTTCTCGTTAAAAATAACGACGTTGATGCAGCCTTTTCACTCCTGAATAGGTTGGTCCTGTAGCGTTTTTATGTTGCCAAGTTTTTTTTACGTTCCATAAGGGATTTTCTGTGCCTATAACTTTGTGNAGTTTGCAATGTTTTCAGGTGTATGGAATGCTCACCCACGATTTGCAACCAGAACAGTTCTCGTTAAAAATAACGACGTTGATGCAGCCTTTTCACTCTTGAATAGGTTGGTCCTGTAGCGTTTTTATGTTGCCAAGTTTTTTACGTTCCATAAGGGATTTTCTATGCCTATAACTTTGTGAGGTATTTGGAAAGTTCTGGTATAAGAAGTGGGAAACTAAGGGAGGGGGAGTGGGAGGGGGAGATTCTATTCGAAACTTTACCTCATCTTTCCTACGTAGGTGGGTTCAATAGTTTTGTCAGCTCGATCCTCTTACCTTGCTTCCATACATGCAGAGAAAAATTCTAACATTAAACAGTACGTAAATGAAAGATAAAATGAACAATCGTGGCGAACTCCCGGGAATCCTTTTTCGCGATTCCTCTAGATTTTCTGTACGAAACGGTGAGCTTATGTGAGAGTTATGAAGGAATTTGATACAGAGTAGATTCTAATGGAATAAAATCAAAATAACGATGGGAAATGTTTCGATTTAGAGTGGTATAAGAGGACTTTAATAAATTTATCTTAAACCATTATTAGATGTGTTATGATACCAAAGGAAAGCCTTATGTAGGGATACTCAGATATAACCGAGTATTACAAATCCCATCGGGGCAAAATGTAGTTGCATATCAAGCCTCACAGAGTTTATATGAGACTGCCGCAACCTCAGAGCAAATTAGTAATCGTTTTCTTTCTTATTCGCTGTGATACCTGTCTTAAGGTTGATGGACTCAGAGGGACTACTGAAGCTCATTCGTCGAACGCAATATTACCAGAAACCTTATATGCAGCGACAACAGCTCTCCATAGAAGCATCAAGTGCCATTTTCAACGAAGATATGACTAGAAAGATGCAATTTATGATGAGAAAGAATCGACCCGACGCCTATCCGGGACAGATGACAACATAGTGTGTGTTCCGATTCAGTGGTAAAATATGTTAGTTAGGTTTATTTAGTAGCTATATTTTCTTCTAAATCTGTCTGTAAGTGTTCTAAATTCTTCTTAGTTGCTGCGGCCACTCACAGAGACTGAAGTTTCATTTTTTTGAGTGATGCCAAAACACTTCTTCGTTCACCTTGTTCATCTTTTTCTTTTCCCTTACAGCGGTCAACAGCAAAGATTTCTTATCAAATACTGCGAATACACACTTAAAAAACAACAAATATCCGAATATTTGGGATAGGATCACAGTCAATCACTTCACGTCATCACTATAAAATCGTCTTTATCATGACAAGAACAATTGAATAAAACAATACATTGAGTTCATCAAGGGACGGTAGTACTTTGGGTTGTGAAGTCGACTTCAGGCATTCGCACTGGAACTTCGTACAGAGTGTCATCCGCTTCATTACGGTCCTGCATCGCGTGTATTCTCCTAAACTCATTGGTAGAGGTAGCGTTATAGTAATTGCGGCTCGATTAGGCATAGACTGAAAGAGGTGTGAGTCCGTTTTATTCCGCTAAATTACTGCCATAACGAAAATTCAGTTTGGATACAGTTTTGGACTACCATCCCTCTTTTGCTCCGTTTGCCATTACAAAAGGATTGATTCTTCTTTTCCCATGATGTCAAATCTTTTAAGACCGTCATGGGATGAAGTGATAGTAACATTATGGTAAGAATCGGGATCTGTCCTGACTTTTACTTTTGTTCCTGCCTACCGTTGATTACGTTGCATGTTCTTTCTGGCGATGTAGTCTTGGTCTTCTTGATCCCAAAAGGTATTGATTGGTTGCGCTAGAATTGGAATCGTGCGGAGGATTTTTCTAAGTTTTGGCTGGGGATATAAGTTGAAACTAAAAGTATTCCCACTCACGTCGCTGTCTGCTCCTGCGCCTCTCTTCTTTACGACGTCGTTCGTTTCGCCCTTCAATGGATTCCCTGATTTCCTTGGGTTCTTCGTAAGGCGTTTCTCGTGAGACTGCACGAGCTGCTTCTTTTGCGGCCTCACGAGGGTTCGGATTTGGGGCAAAACGATCTACGCTGTCAATGGACCGGTGGCGCTCAACATTACCATCGTCATTGGGCTTCTCGTTAGGTTTCGATGTCAAGTGATCTGCAATGAAATGACAACGGAAATAGTTTTGGATGAAGGATGGCGGGCAGTAGGATCGGTTTTGTGCAATCGCCCCGTTATTACAATTCTAGCGTACTTCGTACAGCTCTATCGACATGCACTTATTATTTCTGACATGATTCTAATGTTAATTCTCTTGTTCCTGCATTTCTCACTTGCGGCTGCATCCTGCCGCATTCCTTCGCGCACGACGTCTCTCGCCGCGACGCGGCAGTTTCGATCCCACTGCACCACACCCTGGCCAAGCCAGTTTTCGGAACGAAAGTTCCCATATATAGAAATAAGTTCTATGTCCTGTTGTCTCTCAGAAGGTAGAGGAAAGGTCGATAGCACTGCTTCTTCGAGTGGTCACTACCGAAAACTTTCAATGATTAGGACTTGAAAACCCTGCTTGATTGTGCGCATTCATAGTGTGACGCCGACGCCGATCGTTATTGGGCAGATCGGAAAGTAGTACGGTATATTAGAGACACCCGAACGGTTATGGACAGCGAAGCATTCATGCAGAACTTGCGAACATGTGTCTTCTTTTCTTTTTCTAGGAAGAATTAAAAGAGCAGTTGCCAGTGATTTCTATCAATTGGAAAACTTATCACCTACGTTTCGTCAACGGCACAATCATATTAGATTTTGTAGCTACTTTATTAACTTCTTCTTGTCGCTCTTGTCGCTCTGAGGACACTTCGGAAGAGATTGTGGAATGAGAAAACCTGGAATCTTACTGCTTTTCTTACACTGTTGACCCTAACTTCCTCACATAACCTCTAGCACAGGCACACCACTTTGGGGGAGACTTTGCGATCTCTCTGTAACTGAGCAGAAGGTGATGTAGAGGCAGCACGCGGCACTATCACACGCATGATCGCGGGAACGAATACCCGGGCCAGGCGGGTGTGAGTGTGAGCCTGTTGTCAATAAACCACCTCCAACTCGATTACAGATAGATCTTATCCTAGATACTCTTGAGGAGAGTCGTATTTAGTATGATCGAATCCCTGGCCCATGCGTGTGCGTGTGATAGTGTGACC